GTATGTACATGTACGTTTGTTGTGTTGTTGAGAGGAAATTAAAAATTGGTTCGGTCAGTAAGATCCAAAATCAATTTTCTTTTATTTACACAAACAAAATGATATGTAACCCACTTTTTCAGAAATAATTAATTTGTTGTGTTCAAGCAAGTTTATTTGCATTGGTCTGCTAGTGTTTCCATAACAACATGACTGAGTGTCATTTCATTGCGACGGCATTAACTCGTAAATGAGACTGTGGCCTTAGCTTCGTTTCCCCTTATTAAGTCTTAGATTCCCAGTTCCCTGCCTGCAAATCCATTCCGCGAAGTAATCAGTTTTTGTGATTGACCCAGAAATAGGCAAAGACAAAGCCTTTCCTTTCTAAACACCCCCCCCCCCCCTTCCAGTCTTTCATAGCCGGAGGCAAACGGTGAAGATTTCTTCACGTAGTGATTGATGAGGATCCTGGAGTAAGTTTTGGAGATGAGGATCTTTCTGTTATTGCCCGTCGAGCAGGTTGCTAAGGTGGCAAGCACGCGTGAGCCGCCAGCAAATATTGTTTCACGGTGCATCTCCCTCAAAATCTGTTTGGTTCCATCTTTTTATCTGATTTCATCAAGTCATGCTGGTAAAGTAATCAGGTTCATTTGATGACTGAAAATTCTACTAAATTGTTGACTTGGTTTTTATCTTGGCATTGGGCAAAAGGGAAAAACCCCAAAAGGATACAATATTTAAATTTTACAACAAGTAAAGGAGAGCAAAAATATGTTGAATACTAGAAAGCACCCAGAGAGCGCAAACCTCCGCCAAGGCCAAACAATTGCCCGTTATATTGTCAGTACACCCAAAAGAAATACTCGCATAATTGTGAAGAATCCTTAAGTTAACTTGCTAACAGACAAACAACCAACCAACCAACAAAATCCGATGAAAACATGTACAATGTAACCTCCTTGGCGGAGGTAATAATCAAGGAAAACACGCGTACAAATGTAGTATTAAAAGCAAATGGTTGCCCAGTGCCAGTAGGTTCTGCACCTGTAGGCATCACTGAGGTTACTGTATCCAAAGACAAGACTTGGTCAGAGTTTGTATGATTTTCGCTGTGTACAGTTCAGCTAATGGGCAAGCATTGAAAAATTTTGTGTGAGAGGAACTGAGCAGTGAGTTCAGGGTCAAAATGCATGAGCCGGATAACATTTATATGCGTATATATATATTTTAAAGAGAAGAAAAGAACTGGAACAACAATCTGAAGTCTCATTTTACAAAATAAGTAGTTACTGCAAATTTGTTTAGAGACCACGGAGCAGGCATGCAACATTTCCTCGCATTAACTCATTTCCTCTCTCTTTTTTTTGCACACAAATGTACTTCCCATGTGTGCCATTAAAAAAAAAAATCACTGTATAAATTCTTGGAAAGATTTTAATTTCCTCTTTTTGTGTGACTTCCCAGTTGCATGCCTCAACAGAGGGAAAAACAAAAAGAAAGTGTTGAAGACGCTTTGCTTTGCAGATGATTCGAGTAAAACATCTTGTCTGTCTCTGCATACAAGTTCCCCATATGGGCAATTCCACGGTTACTCATGTTACATTTTCGTAACGTGAGTAACCAATTTTGTGCATCTTGTTTATCATACATAACACATTTTTCTGGATGTCATCTTTGGTGCTTAGGTAGGTCTAGGTCTACTCTATCTACCATGGGGATAACAGTTATTAAACTTTTTCAGTAAGGTAATTACAGCCCAAGGAAACTCAAAAGTACATCAAAATGTATCGTGAGTAACCATGGAATTGCCCATATGCCACAGCCTTATATGCACATATTTTACTGGAGGTTAGGGGAATATGCACAGTCTTCATAATAATAGATCGGCAATGATAGAGGGAAGGGCAGAACATCTGCTCCATCCAGACTGGATGAAAAGGATTACCAAGAACTGGACCAGCAGGTGTACATGTCATTCCTTCTCGCCTTGTTTTCTATCCAGGGATGAAATACGTCGGAATGAAGGATGGGGAAAATATGTCTCCAATCAAACAAAAAGGAAAAAGAGTATGGTTGGTTTCTCCATATATGTATCAGGGAGCTTACATGTAATTCATGTTCATACTATTGTGTACTGGGTCGGTATGTCATGTTACACCCCCCCCCCCTCCCCTATCTGTCATTAAGGCCCCCCAAAATGTCTTCGATTTCTGGTATGGGGCTTGCCCCAAAAGTGGTGAGGCGACGCTGCTTTTGTATTTTTCCTACATGTACTTTTTTTCTTAAAATGTCAGCTGATGTTGCAGATGACGCTTCGATCCCCTTAAAACTCTCAAAAATATCATTCAGGGTGGGCAAGTACCATTACATGTAGGCTATGTAGTGGTAGCTTCAAACAAATTGTATAGGTTTACAACAAAAATAATAATTTTATTTGTATCCATTTTATTTAGGTCCAGTATGGTGCACTCTTACATGTACCGGGTAATTCACTATTGAAAGCCGTCTTTAGTTTTATTACATGTACAATGTATGTGTGTTTTACCGGGCAATGAACTCTAATTGAGGGGAATTTGATTGAGTCACGTTTTCTTTGAAATCTATTAAATTGTGGGTTGATTGGAGGGCATGTGTACTCTGTATGCGCAGTGATGCATTCATTGCACAAAGACCACAATAACGGGATAGTGTTGCATGCAGCATATAGTCGGTGAATATTGCACATCAGTATGTGTACTTGACAACAGGAGTATGTACATGTAGACCAGAGCAGCAAACTTTTGCTGTTTAGATTAAGAAGGTGTTTACTTGAGAAGATTAAAAATAATTGTTATACAATTAATACATTTTTTTGTTGGTAAACGCTAAACCATTTCACGTCATCAAATTATATTGTACTTTTTAAAATAAGACTTACTGTGTGAAGCATTTGTAGGATTATTATTATTATTTTTATGTTTTTTAGCCACTAGACCATTGATGCAATTCAAATTAGACTGATGGTTAAATCGCTTGACTCGACCCACAAGCCAGTGGACATTTTTGAGCCTTTAAGCTCATATGGAATAGTCTGAAACTGATGCAAATGTTTGTAGTCTGCACTTTTGTGAGTTGCTGCATAAATTTACACAGAGGCTACGAGTACCGGTATGATGCGCATTTCATTGAAATTTGTTGACCCTAGGAAGTCATTTAACCTGCTTATACCGGTATCTTCAACCATTTGGCATTTAAACAAAAAGAAACACAACATATGGATACACAAAACCCCCCTTGTGTTTTGAAGAAAAAAAAATCAAAAAAACTCTTTTGTGTATTCTCCCAGTAATTTAATATGCACTATAATTTTCATAAGGGAATTAATTCAATTTTTTGTTGTCCTGTACATCCACTCATAACCATTTAAAGTGAGAATTTGCATAAAAGTAAATCATACATTTACGAGGCATTTCGGATGTAAATGAGTTGGCAGTGGTAGCCCCTGGATCATATTAAAAAACATCGCCTGTTCTCCATGTCATTAGATATTTTCATAAAATACAAATGTATGAACATTTGAAGTATTCATTCCTCAATACGAGCGAGCAGTGTGTATGAATAACGTACGTGCAGCGCGGCAAATTACCGTTTCATTACATATTTTGTTGATGCTTGGTTTGTCAGGCTCAGGTTCAAGATATGGATGAGCGTTCGTGCAAGGGTCCTTTTGCAAGTGAAGCCTAGAGCCATCATGCTCGTGTTCCCCTGTCAGTTTTTTTTTTTTTTTTGCCCCATGCCAGACATCCAACGCATTCACAAGCTGCTTTTGTTCGTGGATGACAAACACAAAGACTGTTTGCTCAAAATTTAATTATCGGGGAAAGGAACTCTCCTTTCCAAAATAGCAAAATGATTTCTTTCCCCATGTGCCTTCATTAACCCTTTTCTTTTTTTTCTTTTTTTCTTTCCTTTCTGCTAATTAATTCGCGTGCAGTTGAATGGTAAAAGTCTTTTGATAATTCTGTATTTAGCCCCCAGAGACACATTGTCTGGATCCTGAAGACTAACGAGGAAAAAGCCATTTTATTTTTTTTATTTTTTTTTCATTTTAGGACTGGAGCTGATGAACTAATGAATTCATCACTCATTGATACAGTATGCACTTCACGGTGAATACGAGTGTATCATTAATTATTTGCCCATGACACCATGAAGCCAGCCAAAAAAAAAGCATTAATGAAAAAAATATAAATCAATTTTAAAATGTAAATGAATATAAGCAGTCCACGATAAATACCGTTGTGTAAAGCATGAAGTGATCATATAACAGAGAGTATCCAATCAAAAAGACGTTGTTGGTAAAATTTGAACATTTGAATTTTGCTGTACTGCTTTTGTATATTGTTGTAGTGAACTGTATCACAAGAAATTGTCTTTGATGCAAGGTCTTTACATTTTTTCCATGTCCTGTTTGTTTAAAGTGAGTTATGTTAATAAAAAACTTATTGCCAAACCAAGAAAAATTGATGGCCATTTTGTTGTACATGTCGTTTAGTAACTTAATAATTTCAAGGGATCTTCTGCGAGAAACTAAACCGGTATTTCGGGTGCATGTACACCGTAAATGCTTTCTCTTTATACAATAACAGCACCGAGTTGATGGAAGACCCGCTCCAAATGTAACTTGTGTTACCGTGGAATTGCCCGTAAAATGAATGTTTATAAAGTAATATTGGCTGCAAAAATGATATAGATCAGATCTTTCCATCGTCTTTTTGCCAAGTGTTGTATTCAAGGCACTGTTTAATCAATCTACGGTACATTGTATGCCCCCCCCCCCCCACGTAAAATGTCTAATATCTAAGCATTTTTTAACTTTCTCCCAAAAACTGTGAAATCCATACCTTTGTCCCTGAAATTGATTAAGACCATGAGTGACAGGTATCTAACAAAATAGACAGGCATGTTACACTTTTTGGAAGAACTACCAGTACATGAAGTAACATTGATCTGACATTGTTTTTATTCTTTCCATTTCTCAGTCCGTACAGACGTTGAAACCCCAGCTTATAGCGGTCCATATGCAAGAAGTCGGAGGCAAGGATTTTGAGCAGTGCATGGGAAACGTCGATGCTTTTGTACAGTAAGTTACAGCAGTACATGTAGATTTGTCATGTTCTAATTGTCTTCAGACGTGTGTGTGTGTGTGTACAGTTTTTTGTTTGTAACTCCTCAGCATTTCTGTATGGAGTACTGAAGTGAATACGTCACGCGCACAAAATGTGTGTGAAAGACATTAGCGCGTGATTCAGCCTGTGAACCAACACGCGCGCGTACTCCATTCGTTTGCACTACACTTTCTGGTTCTAAATGACGTCACACTTCGGTACTCAATTGAACCTCTTCCTGAATGCCTCAAAAATCCATGACTTTGAAATTGAATGTTCTACGCACACGTAATGGAACATTCTATGCACATGTAATGGAACGTTCTATGCACATGTACGTGAACATACACTTTAAACTTTAAAGGGCAGCAACTTAAAAGGGCAGCAAGCCCTTTGCAAAGTACATGTAATACTGACAGGACTCTATTATCCTAAATCCTGCAAAACCCTGCAAAATCCTGCAAAATCCCGCAAAATCCCGTAAGTCTTCCCAGGATTGTGAAGATCTAGGAGGGTAACATGGTGAATATATTTGCTGCAACCAGAATTTCAGACACATTGTCAGTCAATATTTCCCTGATTCTGCCTCATGCTTTGGGGGGGGGGGGGGGGGGGGGGGGACTCTGCCAGCTTTTAAAATGTACGTGTAAATGTTGAAGTTACCATAACATGAACATGTACATGTACGTGTACTAGTACATGTACATCATGGAGAACCTTTCTAAAACAATATCCACAAAAAACAGAATGTTTTTGGTAATTTGAGTTGCACGTACATGTACATGTATAGATCTATTGGCCACCATACCTGTTAAAAAACTATCGAAAGAAAAACACTATTTGTTCTGAAGCACCAGCACTTGACGTGTGAAATGTCGTGCCCCACTCACGCACTTCACCTCTTCTGCATGACTACACAAATAAATTTCCTCCTCGTGGACCTGCCGACTGTATTGTCGATGGCAATCCACCTGTTCTTGTTTCCTTTAAGCCAAATATAGAGAAGCCACAGTTCATCTGTCGACATTTCCTACCTGTATTTTTCTCGAGTTCCTGTCGAGGCGATGGACGAAGATGTAGGCAGGATGTCTGGACAGTTGTTTCTTTTCATTTGTTCCCCTGTAAATGGATTCAGTTCCGATTGTCACCTGTTTTTATTCAAATCGCACTTTTGTCTGGGCATTAATTGTAGGCCCCCCCTAATGCTTTTTAGGTTCAGGTGCAAAACAGATTGGGAAGTACAGATCCATGTAAATAACCTTCGTATTTGGGGTGAACAAAATCCTGAAGTTTTTCGTAACAGGGGGAAACGTTGAAAACTTCTGTTACTGCGGAGACAAGACTTATCTCACCTTCCAAATGTTTGTTTCATGTACAGTTCTGTTTTGAAGTACCGGTACTTATTATGTACGGTACATGTGTAATGTTTGCTTTTTCCAAAACCATCAGAAAATTATTTACTTTTATTTGAGACTGATTTAAAATTGTAAATTTTCCACCTATACTTTTATTTGCATTTTTTCCTCATAAGAAAAAGTAAATTAAATTTTGATGTAGCTGTTCATGTACAAAATGTAGGCCTATATTTTGAAGTTTTCAAATTGTTTTTACTGATTTTTGCTCAGGCATTTGAACTGCGTGCATCCTTTTCAGAGGAATGACACACTTTTGTTAATCATCATGTATCTGCAATTATGTAAACAGCGAATATTTAGTAACTGAAATTTGAAACAAGATTCTAAATTTACAGAGTGTAATGTACAAAAGGTACAAATGTAGTTGCTTTCAATACTTCGAACTGCATGCATGTGCAGGAAATTGGTTTTAGATTACTGAGAATGCTGATGACAGAAGGATGTTTTACTCAGTCTGTTCCGTGAAAAGAACTCATGTATTATATATATCTGGTTAATAATTAAAGTCATAAATTGGTCAGAAATACCCTGCAAAATAAGCACTGCACTTCGGACGCTATGACAAGTTTGTTTTGGGGAATTGCACTGTCATGGTAATATTTGTTGAAGAGAAGATGTACATAAGGTACACAGTGTTTTGTAGAGTAAGTTAGTTTAATGATGTAATTTTTAAAACAAAATTATTGTGAAAGCAAGGGCGGATCCAGAACACAATTTTTTGGGGGCGAACAAAATTTTGGTCCCCCAATAAGTGGGTCCAAAAAATTACGGCGTGGGGTTCGGAGCCCGCTCAAGCATGTCAAGGGCCCCAAATTTTTTTGGATTCTTGATGCTCTGTGGTGTGATCTGAGGCAATTTCTAACCAATTTTTTTTGAGGAAAAGATGGTGATGTATGCAGTGCCTGCCTTTATTGCAACGTCACTCAATAAAAAAAATTGGGTTCGTTTTTTTTTTTTGGGGGGGGGTATGCCCCCCCCCCCCCCCCCCCCCCGGATCCGTCCTTGTGTGAAAGAAACGATGCCTTATTTTTGTCTGTTTCCTTCTTTGCACCTACATGTATCTCACTCACTGACTCTCACTTGTTAGTTGGGCAGTGTTGTGGTATCGACTTATCCCGTCATGCCAATGAATGGGCCAATATACCTTTATCATGCTGCCACCATTTCAGTCATGTTCCCTGTATCCAATAACAGTACTAAATGATAATGTTTTTCTGCAAAAAGGAACCAGACTATTTTTCCTTCCAGCCTCGCTTTGGTTACGTTGATTTGAATGGGGAAAATATTAAGATGGCCGCATCATGATAATGGCCTATTGTGTTGTACACCAGATGCATGAAAAGAAGCTTCGTATGAATATTATTATGAATGGTTTATTTTAATTGTACTCCTCGCCGCCAGTGGCAGAATTGCGAATAAAATTTACATTAAAAAATACTCAAAAATAGTAGTTGATACATGTATACATTAAATATGGGGGGGGGGGGAAATAGAACTGAATACAAATTGATAGAAAAGGGTTGTTTACGAAAATTAATAGTAAAATAAGCCAGAATAAAGAATAGGGGATGGGAAGGAGTTATGAAAAGGACAATTGAATGGGGTTGGGATGGGGTAAAGGAGAGCAAAGGGGTGAATTACACATACAAGCTGGAGATTTGAAAAAGGAGTTTGTATTAACATTAAACACATTATCTACAAGCAATTGGCAGTAATTACTTACATTAAAAACACATCAATATTAGTTTATAGGTACATTAAAAAGAGGGAAAAATCGGAGAACTGAATACGAATTGAGATAGGGAAAAAAAAAATAGCTATTCTGAATCAATTGAATAAAATTGTGTGCACTCTGGGACCAGCTTTGCTGGGCTTGCCTTTTCCTTTTTTTATTTCAAACCTAATCAATGTCACCTTTTGGCATTTTTTACACAATTCATTTATTTATCGGTAATTGTGATTTCTCTCTTAATTTTTTCCTACCCAGGAGTTTAATAGACAGTGAGGCGCTCAAGTCTTTCGACCGATCCCTGGTGTTTCTGGATAAAGACTTTGCTCTCGTTGATCAGTTTACGGTAAGCAACGCTAGACTTGTAGAGCTGTCAGTTATCTGTCGTGTTCTGATAAATGTCCTCGGAGACTTAGGGACATATTTCTCCTCATTGACGTTTCAGGCTAGTTAATTTCCCTGGGCATCTGTCTCCTTTCTGAATGAAATGAGGTGCTTTTTCAGAAAGAATATTTTTCATTTTTTGAACATTTGTCTACCATCTTTTTTAAATTTCAACTTTAGTTTCTAACCCTTGTTTTACATGAAATTTGTCTTAATTTACGTATTTCCAAACTGTTTTTGGATCAAGAGGTATCCATTTTTTGTAAGGTATAATGCTCACCTTTTTTTCCTTGACATGAAATACTTCTTTGAAGTTTTTTTTTTTGGGGGGGGGGGGGGGGTGCGCAAACTCAGACCCTTTGCCCTCATGCATTATATGTGCATGCAGTGTATTCATCTGTTCAATTTTCACATAATGAATGAAAAAAAAACCTTGTTGTGCTCTATGTACATTGTACAAATTGTGCAATCCAAGCCCTCAAGGAAATCTTCTTTGGAAAAATTCTTCATTTTTTGGACCAAACTTCCAAGACGAAATTGGGCTAAGCCAGTCTCATCTCTTGAGGTCAGAATATGACGAGGGCTACCACCTCTGACATATGATGTAGCAGGATGCACCTTGAGTGATTATAACCAATGTAGATCCGGTGAATCCTGTCTGTCAACCATCTCATTGACACGTCTGAAAGCTGACGTCTCTTGATACATAACCAGGTCACGCTGACCTTAGCAAATAACCTTCACACTTGAGCCAGTGAAGCCTTTTAAGTGTTACCTCTCCCAAATCGGAAGGGGATATGTCAACAAAAGGGGGCATGTCCTTCCAAATTCTACCAATTTCGTCCTTCGGATCATCTTGTTTCGACAGGGGGGAAAGTAGGAAAGCCTGCCCTCTCCAGAATTAATTGGCCAATCAAAGGGCATCTGGGAGAGGTCCGTCCTGACACTGTCAGTAAACGTGGGCAGGAAAGGTCAGGCTAAATCTGGCAGGGTTTGCTAATTAATGAGCTGACAATCATTTTTTTTTCCCCCGTTAATTTAATCTTCCCCGGCAGGATTGAGTGAGTTATGGTCAGGGCGCGGTGACAGAAGATCGAGTGTTATATGCTATCTTGTCATAGCAGAGTACGTCATAGCAGTGGCCTTGATTTTTAAGTGCAACCTTTTAAAGACTTTTAAACCTAATGGCACTTGAGATGCTCAGAACCTGTCAAAAAGCCTTAGGTTTCAAGAATTCAAACTCGACATACATGTGCTGTGTAGAGGGACTGCACTCATCTTTGGTCTGTCGAGCCTTGCCATAATAAGTGTATGCAAAGAAAACACAATCATGTATAGCATGTTTTTTGTGTGTGAAGATTTTGCACATTTCTTGGGCTCGAGATCCCCAGGTCTGGTGTAACACGATCACACATCGTGCCGTGATGGAGCTTTTCTGGGACAAGCGAGATCAAGCCATTGTTGAACGGTTTCTGCCTTGTCAGCTTGCTGGATTATACTGTGATGTTGCCATAGCAACTTATGAAAAAGTAATTTGTCAGGGTAATGCTTGGGCTGTCGAGCACCGTAATCCGTCTTTTCACCAGATATGATGAGGTATTATTGCCGTACCTGTACAAACATGACAAAGGAGGTAATCCCAAAGCTCAGTGTACAGTATTGTGGCTATTGAATAATCCCTTGTTGCTAAGACAGTCGCCATATTGTGAAACAGATACATGTACAAAAAAATGTACATGCACTGTGCATACCATTAAACATGAATATATGCATATTGCATACTGGTACCATTCCCTTCTGACTACAATGTGGGGAAATTTACTGCAGCAATGGAATATTTGACTGTTTACTCTACATGTATATAGCCCCAAAAATATGCATGACATAAATATCCATAATTTTGACAAACTAGTGAAACTGCATTCTCATTTAAAGCAAACAGTATGATGTTGTTGTCAGTTCTATTGTTGTTTGCGTAGGAACAACATTATGTGGCTCATTACATGTGCAGTTACATACAGTGTATGTGAATAAAAATACCGGTAGCTCACAAACGTGCATCAGAGGAATATCGGACCACGGGAGTATGTCCCACAGTCGATTTCATTTTGTTTGTGCCACAAGCCAAGTTGACAGCCAAGTGTTTGGTTTGGGCCAGGAATCCGTCCGCGGCTTTGTTTTTTTGGACTCACTGGCACGTGCATTACGTATCAATGGTATGTTTGTTACAGTCGGTTAAAGACTGCTGTTGGAAGATGACATGTAAGGATGATTCACGTCGGTGAGGATCCAGGATTGATGTTGACCTGACTGTTATATGTAGGGTTAATAATGAAGGCACTTTGGTCTCTTACAATGTAGAACTAGTAGATAGGGGTGTGCATCGGAACTGGATACCCGAGTACAGGAAAAGGTTTCAGATTATGAGATCGGATACCCGTAACCAACTTTATAAATTACCCCGGTAGTTAGTAACTTCTCTGACAATAAAAAACAAAGGTTTTGAATGCCATTTGTGTGGAATTTAAAAAACAAATTAGAGTAGCTTAATATTTCATCCGTAGCAAGGACTTCTTCAGAGGCAAAAGGGGTTAGGGTTAGAAGTCCTTGCTAAGGATAAAATATTAGGCCACTCTAATTTTTTTATTTGTATATATTTCAGAACAATGCAGTCAGTGAGCAGTTTGCAGCAGTTTTATTCATTTTTAATTTAACTTTATTAGTTTTCATGGTGAATGGAATACAGCACGTGCACAGTTTTCATTGCCCTGCTGTTTGTGTGACATTTTGGCCTCGCAAATAAGTCTTCATTTTATTCCAACTTTTCTACCATTGCCTTCTCAAGATTCATGGGAAACAATTGCAAATAGGTCCAGACAATGAGGAGAGGAGAATCGATATTATCAGAGAGTTTTCAGAGGTAGATTAATTGCAATTGAGATTATGGTGTCTCAACTTCATTTTTAATTGTCACTCTGGTTTGTTTTTGTTTCACTTTGGTTGTTGAGTGGAATGCTCTATCAGTCATAGTGGACCATACATGTATGTACAGTATGTCCAAGTGTTAACTGCAAAGGTTGGATCCAGACGGAATAACACACATAGGTTTACAATCTGCTTCACCCCCCCCCCCCCTTCCCTCAACCCTGGCCCGATTCAGCGCCAGCTATGCCGAGCTGCGAACCCTTTTAATTGCAAGCCCAGTCTGGATTTTTTTTTTGCAGGGTTGTCTTGACGTATGTGTTGCCATGACGACGACCCTAGGAGTGCTGGTTGAGCGGCTTTGCAACCTCTAGCTATAATATTGCTGACAAGTGTTGTAGCTTTTCAGCCCAGTTTACAGTTAGCTGGGAAAGGTTGGGGGGGGGGGGGGGGAGGCGTCGATGCTTTCACTGGACAATCTTATCCTTATTAAAGGATTTTTGTGGATGCATGACCTTGGCCCTAGGTATGCCATTGATGAGTATTCAGATATTCTTTTGTATCTTAAAGTCAAAGGCATGCAGGAATATACATGTATACCGCGTATATTTGCAATCCACAATAACCTACATTGTACATGCACTGTGCCTTTTGGACTTGAATGTAACTGGTATCAAGTGCTGCCTCCTTGAAGTTGAACTCTTGTTTACATGTCGCCATCATAAACATATGCTAAATTTGTTTCAAGTGCAAACACCGCAACAGTGTAACATGAAATTCAATCCACATGACTGTGTACAAAACAGGGCCTTCGGTTTGCAAATTGAACAAACCACTTATAGGCTATGCCCGCCGCCGATACAAGAAATGTGCATTTATTTGGTGTTGGATCTCAAAAATTGAAACCCTAGATTCCTTGCTTATTCCTCTTGAATCCTCTAAAATACACCACTGCTGTGCATTTGTACTTGTGCACATAGAATATAAATTGCCCCTCTCACAAGAAACAATTAAATTCTTTTGATGTGCCTTTAAATGTTTCACCCTAGATTCCTTGCTTATTCCTCCTGAATCTTCAAAAATATACCACTGCTGTGCATTTGTACTTGTGCAAATAAAATATGAAATGCCCCTCTCACAAGAAACAATTAAACTCTTTTAATGTGCCTTTAAATGTTTCACCCTAGATTCCTTGCTTATTCCTCCTGAATCCTCTAAAATATACCACTGCTGTGCATTTGTACTTGTGCACATAGAATATAAAATGCCCCTCTCACAAGAAACAAATTCTTTTAATGTGCCTTTAAATGTTTCACTGGGAAAAAGTCTACCATCAGTAAAGTACGGTATGCAGACTGGATGCATGCCAGCGGGAATGCTGTGTTTACACATTCCACAATTTCCCCAACTATTTTGGTCATTGGCGGACATAATTGGCCCTCATTTCTTTTCTCAAGTGCTGGAAAGGAATTCCCTGTAATTTGTCATTAATTTGAAATGGAGGAGTTGGACTGGTGTGCGCTGTCCAAGGTTAATGGCATTAAACCACTCCAATGCAATTATTGTAAAAGGGTTGCCATTTAATTACAATCGTGTCTCTTTTGGAATTATGGGGGAATTATGTACAGTGAATAATATAGTAGACAAAATAATACATACATTTTGTATTTTGCATTCAACAATATATATGTACGTGTACATACTGTAAGAAAGATTTTGGGGTTTTTTACACTCAGTACAACGCATATTCTGGTAAATTGTTTGCAAGCAATATTCAAAATTTCTTTTAAAATGAAGAGTTCAAAATTTAAAAGTGTTCTCTTAAACATGTACGTGTGTGTATTTCCAGAAATATTAGAATTTTCCAATCTTTGCAAATTGTCCATTTCTCTCCAGAAAACCGTTTACAACAGAAGGTTGGAAGAACCTAAGTTTTTTATTTCAAGATTATCTTGAAAGCATTCCATCTATAAAAAAATTGAACTGCATGCAGTACCATCGCACATTTTTAGTCAATTGTTATATTGAAATTCACGTAAT